TTTTTTAATGGATTTTGGAATGGATGCCTCATTGGGTCCAGTTGCTACAAAAACTTGAAAGTCTATCAAATCTAGTACCATATACTTTTGTATCAATTATCAAAATGGTTCAAAATAAAGCACACTAAAAGTACAATTAATTTTGCCTTCCAATAGTTAACATGTAAAACGAACATTGAAGAGTGATTGATCAATAGTATTACCCTAGGATATATGAAATACTACAGAAGTCACCCATGAAACTGACAATCATTTTGGTACCCAAGATTTTCTAACACTTGCTAACCTGCTACTCTCACAAACACATAGTTTATCTGCATAAACAGAACAAAGCTACAGCTATATTCCACACAACTCCCTTCCTCCCATCCAATTACTCTATCCCAAAGTAATCTTCTGACCATTAATAATTCCTCAACCTAGTAATTATGTAGAGGCCAATGTTTCTCAACACATGATCACAAAAAGTGAAGCTGATTCTACCCTAAGAGGCAAAAAGTAAACAGTAAAACAGAAGATGCAAAATATTTTCTGAAAGTAATTAAAGGCATGAAGAACTAATCATAAACAAAAACAGAAAGCCCATGGTATTCTACTGTGGAGCTCCTCCAGTTCTCAATTAATACTGGTCTAAATTATATCTACTTAAGTAATATGAGGTCTTTTTGTGAAAGAAAAATATATGGCTTTTAATTACCTTAGTGAAATTATTCTATCCCACAATGTAGACTTTAGAAGCAAATGGTTACATTTATAAACTGTGAGCAAAGTCACTCAGCAAATGTACTTATTCCCAGTACCCACTACAGTTTGAGCAGGTAACAAGAAGGTATCAGCACTGTAAAAAAGAAATAAGGCTAACTTAATCATCCTCAGCTGAATAGTTCATTTGAAGTCAGCCTCACTACATGAGGCCCTATCTCAAAAAGCAAAATAAAAATTTTAAAAAAGGACTATCTTTAAAGTTGAGTGTTTCAATTAAACATTAACAGGACCCTAGGGGGGAAAAAAACAGGATATAAAATTTTAAATGGTTACAACAAAAACTAATTTCCCAAATCACAAAAAGCATTTTGAATAGTGGTAGCTATCTTGATAAACTTCCTCTTTAAACGTATAATTCATAATTACAATAAAAACTTGAACACCTTAGGGAAATAATTTGAAGTACCAATGACTTCAAACTACACCAAAGTCCTTAAGAACTCAAAGTTCCTTTCTTAGAAAACTGTCCAGGGACACTGCTATCATTAGTAAACATTTAGAGGACTATATTTGTAGATGAACTCTTTATCATCAAACACTGCAGTCTACACTTATGCCAACACCATTTCCCTACAGTGACTGCTGAATTTAAAAACGGATCCAAACTTGATAACATCAGCACATAGTGCCTTCCTTAAGCTGGACATGCTGAATGCACGGTTTCGTTAACTCTCAAAGCACACACATGACAGTTCAGGCCAGAAAGCTACTCACCACCTTCTCTTTCTCTAACTCTTTGAGTGTGCACATTTTTGGCCTTATTGTGACCTGTGCTGTCACTGTATTTGTTTTCAGGACTATCAGATCTCCGCAACATTTTATTTGGTGGTGAAGGATCTGCGGCGTCTCGCATCTTTTCATGTCTGTGATCACCACTACTGGGGTGACTCTTTGACGAATACTTAAGTGCCTGTAAAACATCACCCCCCCAAAAGAAGAGAAAAAGTTGAAACTTTAAACTCAATTACTATTTAAATTACAATTTTTGATATGTTAATTCACTTACATCAAAACTCATTTATTTTCATTTTCAATACTTTCCTTATTCACAGAGAAAATCTAAATGCTCAAGAGTTACAGTGCAACTCCTGATAACAAATCTAACCACAAAAAACAAAAAGGAGGGGAAAAAATCCTATTATGTAAACTTTAAAAAACAAGTATCTTGGCACACTTTGAAACTAAAGTCACTTTTTGAAAGCTTAAACTAGAATCCATTTATACTCTTCAACTAATGCATCCAGGCACATCTATAAATAAGCATATTTTTAAGACCATAGTTTAAAAAAAGACAACAGTTTTTCCATTTCTTTGATTCAAATAAAGCACCAACCCTAATTTACAAGTTTTCGGGGATAAAACTCTTAAGCTGTAATATCTGCCAAAACAAACTGATACATGAGCAATGCTTCTAAGAAGGCTTAATTCTAAATGCCCTTAAAATAATGGTTTTACTCTGCAGGTGTCTTAAGATGAACACAATGTATCAGTCCTTCACGAGGAGTAGTCACATGGGGGAGGGGTCAATTATGTTTGACACATGCAAATAGGGAAGCGCCTATACAGTAACCCAAGTATCAGGTTAGAAACTTGCTCGCTCTCTTGCCAGGCTGGTGGCTCCCACGTGTAATCCAGCACTCAGAAGACTGAGACAGAAGTAAAACTGGAAGCCAGCCTGGCCCACAGAACCTTGAGAGATAGACCTGTTCCTATTTGCTTCTGTTGTCATAAGTTACTGCCCTGAGGACACGCCAGCAAATGGTTAAAACTTTACATGCAAAAGCTTCAGTAACAATAGACACCCCGAGTCATTTCTACTAGCATGAAGTACCCAAGTCACAGAAGGTTTAAATTAACCCAAGCAAAAACAAGACCTTTCCCTTGAAAGGGAATAATTTAAAAAATAAACAAAACAGCAAGGGTCGAGTTTACAACTGTAACTCACTTCGGTACTTCTTCCTCTCATCTACATTTAAAACCTTCACATGTATCTTTTGGCTCCCCAATCCAAGCAAGTCAATGTGCCTCCGAAGTCACCTAGCACTACACCCCAGCGATTTCTTCTCGCTCAAAACAAACCAGGTCTTCCTGGTTGCGAAAAGAAAAGAAAGAAGAAAGAAACAAAAACCCTGAACTTCCTCCAGCCACCTCTCACGGTAAGTCCCTAGCCGTGTTTGGCGAGTGCTAAGGGAACCCAACGCCGGATTTTAAGCGGCCCACTCGTGCTACTTTCGGATCTGTTGCACCGAAGGGCCTGTAGCGACTTCTGAAGCCTGCGCTCGAGTAGCAGTCCCTCCCTTCCCCCTCCGACCCCTTCCAATCCCTCGACCCCGGGATCGGCTGGTACCTGGAAAGGCTGCGAGTCCCCTCTCCGGTCGTGACAGCTGAAAAACAGTAAGAAGGACCGTGGCGTGAGACATCGCGGGAAAGGAAGAAAG